CCACTGAGGACTATGATACTTTCCACTCCGCTGAGGACCACGACACCTTCCACTCCGCCGAGGAATACGAGGACGACTTGATCACGCCCTCGACTCCGCGCGTATCGACTCCTTCCACCGCGAGGCCCTCGGTTAGTGTCACGGAATCCACTCCTGGGCGCTCGACGACGACCAGGAGGCCAACAACAACGGCCCCAACTCCTACGGTGGAACTTTCTTCAACAACTTCCTCAGCATTGCCCTCTACTTCGCGTCCAGTAACGACTAGCAAGCCAACAACAACGAGCACTGTGGAACCATATACATCACCTTCTGCAACAATCGAACCTACCATTCCAACGACCACCACAACAGCTAAACCCATAGATCCAACAACAGTCTCTACAACACCTAAACCTTCACCTCCAACAACCACAACACTCAAACTAACAGATACAACTACAACCTCTACAACACCTAAACCTTCCCGACCAACAACCACCACAACTGCCAGACCCTTAGATCCAGTGACCTCTACAACAATTAAGCCTTCGCCAACAACCACCACAACAATTAAACCTTCAGATCTAACATCGACGACACTCAGAACCACAACTCCTACAACCACATTTAAACCTTCAGATCCAACAACATCGACGACACTCAGAACCACAACTCCTACAACCACAACATTTAAACCTTCAGATCCAACAACATCGACGACACTCAGAACCACAACTCCTACAACCGATCCAACAATTTTACAGATCCAACAACATCGACGACACTCAGAACCACAACTCCTACAACCACAACCACATTTAAACCTCCATCCCCTACAACCACTACCGTAATCGCTGACACAACCACGAGAAGCACAGTTACGTCGACGAGGAAGCCTATTATCCCTCCGTCACCCACACCTTCAGGAGAGGACGTCACCGAGGCATACGAACCTCCTCTTTTCCCCGGAGGTTCAACCCACACCGAGGAGGAGGAGGAGGAGGAGGAGGATGCTGAACCATTTGAACCTCCTCCGTTCCCCGATGTGTTCAGTGACCCGGATGTGCGAGATCGCCTGAGGGAGTTCTATGAAAATGGAGACTTCAGCCATTCAGAACTCGTTTCTAGGTTGAATTTCGACCCGGAAAACTATGAATATTATTACGATGATTATGATTACTCTGAATATGCTTGATTAGACGTTGTGTGTTTGTTGTTGCTGCTGCTGCGTTTGTGTTTGTTTGTCCCCACTCCTATGCACCAGTCCTCTATTACCTATATAAAAAGCTCTATATAAAAAGGAATTTGTTATTAGAGCTTTTAACATAGTCCCTCCTAAAAGAAACATTCCTCTCCATTTTCTCTGATGGATTTCTTATTATTTACACGCTTCACTCGCTCTGTTTTATATCACATACGTGCCTAACAAACTATTTTCACCTGTTATCTCTTTGAAATTCCATTACAATAAGTCTGAGTTACTGTTTCCGCTTTCAATCACACCATAATCCATCTTTATCTAACAACAGTCGTAGATTTAAGGGTAAACTATTGAAAATCAGCCTTTTGCAGCATTCGACGAGGTAGATGGGTAATTATTACAAAGACCGAATGCGACGATTCTGGCATCGATAGATTCCTCTCACTCTCTACGACTATCATATAAAAATTTTCGGCATTGTATAATATATCAAACTCCTAAATGTTTGTCTGCTGGCCTAAATGATAGATAAAAATATGAATATCTTAAATAAAATCACCTACAGAAAGGAAATGGGTATTACATGTATATGAAATACGCAAATCTTATTATAGTGTGCCATAGCTCTTAATGCAAAAACAGCAATTCATGTAATCACTCTTTTACAATGATTGTCCAATATATATGAATGAAAATTAAGGGAAAATATATAAGCAATGACTGAAACAAATGGAGAAAAGGCTCTGGTACTTAAAAGACAAAAAAATAAGGGATGAATATTAAAAAAAAATAAAGATATTGTATCTTTACATGCTGGTATTCTGTTCATTTCTTATTTCTTAAGTTTCTTAAAGTATCTTTTGCCAAGTGTCTATATACTTTTCATTACCACTAGTTACTACTACTTAATTATTCTGTGAGAACATCAAAACCATAAAGTTTGTACTGGCTGACTGAATGGCAGAATAATGACAGAAAAATAGTTTTTTATCAATGTGTTTGAAATGCAATAAAATTAAATCAATAACATGTGTACTAAAAAAATCATACCAAAAGACAATATTTATCATGTGTAATGGCATTATATGACTATATGTAGGTTTGACAGTAGCAGAACTAGAACAGTTGATTTCTATAAACAGAAAGCACATCTTAACAAAGTGTACAATATTTTTTATACTACATATCTTGGGCTACATGTTTATACATTTTATAATATACCATTGAACTGTTACTGTTTTCAACTTCAGAAGAAATTACTATTTGTACAATGTTGATTTTAAAGAATTCCTTCAAATGATTTAAAAGCTTTTGCTACATTTTCTTTCTTTGTATCCTTTTAATCCCAATTTTGATTAAATCTGCAGTTCCTGAAAGAAACCATCTTCAGTAATACCCACAATAGCTATCATGAACCCACAAATTAAATCTCTCAGCACCTGACAACTATCTGGTATATAATGAATTATACAGCATAGCAGAAAATTTTAGCAACTCTAACAGAATGCAGAAACCTGAAGGTAAACTTTAAAATGGAAAAAAATAAACTATATTGAAAAAAAACACCCAAGTCGATCCTTCTCATCTCATTCAAACTCAGAATCCCTGAAATGATCTGGTTTTACATTACAAACTCTCTTTCAATGGCTAGGACAGTGTTTCTTTGAAAAATCTTTGGACATGGTAGTTGGTGACTGTTAGCTTGAGTAGATGCCTTTCCTAAGCTTACATTATGAGCACGAATAAAACACAAAAACTTGGAGGCTGTGCACTGTACTACTCCACAATGGTAGCCCAAAATCCATGATAGAATCAGTTTTAAATATAAAAATTCAATTTACCTTAAAACAATACTATGGGGTAAATATTTTCAGTTATAAGTAGCTTTGATTGATTGAACTTGATAATGCTATCTATTTATCAAGTCATCCAGTGAGGCCAAGTGCAAAAAGTACAGCCCATGCTACAATCCAGTCATGTAGTCAAGGTTGGAATTACTTGGACATGATCATAACATGTTTTTCTTTATTTCATTTGCAATCCCAGCTACAAATTAATACTGGCAAGTATCAGTACTTCTACTTTTCCCCCCTAAGAGTGAATATTGAATGAAAATACTTTGGGGTAACTAACAAGAACATTTGGTTACAGGTAAAAGAAATTTGTAATAACTCAAAGGAATGGCACTGGAATGTGATCATTGATCCTCACTAATTCAGCACTAATCTAGGATCAAGGAAATTTCAAACTTGCTGCTAAATAATGGAATCATAAATTAAAACAATGTTAAAGTTGGGGCTCCACTGTATTACATTATTACTTTATGGCTTTTCTCTCTACAATGATATACCTTCAATATATTTTTCATTATCTTTACATGTAATTTTCTTGAAACATATTGATGACTAATGCACTGAAGGCCTCTTAATGACCAACGCTTGCAAAAACTGGTTAAGCCCAAAGCCTCAATAGACCAGTGATGGTAACATGAAGGAACTATAGTATCTGTAATTTGAATTCTACCAGAAATGGAATCATTTCCCCATTTCATCAAACTTCAATTAAATTTTCTTATGAATTTTAAGTTATATTATATATAACAAGGCCTGATAAATGTAGCATACTTCTCAGATATATACAGCATTACCATCATGTTCAATGATAAAATATTTTTAAAAGAAAACAGGCAACATGAAAACTTTTTAATAGTAAGAAATGAAACATGAAAAATGTAAAACCACCTTGTTTTTAGTGACTAAGACTTGAAAAGAAATAACAACTGCAAATCATCAGTAACTTCACCTGATTGAAAAACAGGTCATTTCCTCCTTTCACCATCAAGTAACCAAGCTGTGTGCAATTTGTGTTTTTTACCAAAGGGAACATGTGTTAACAGTCACTTTTTTACCTTTTGGATCCTTCACTTTAGTTACGTATTTGCTATTGTTGAGAAGTGCTTCGTCAGTATTATTTCCTTCTAAAAGCTGAAACTCTTCACAAGCCTATTTTTCATCAAAACTTTACTAATGATAATGCAAAAGACTAAGTTTATACACATTCATAAACAATTTTAATTGAACTACAGTACTATAATAGTTTTTTTTTTAATAAATATTTTGAAGTAGACACATTTGGGGGTCCCTTCCTTCTGGAGGTAATAAAATTCCACCCACTTTAATTATTCAACTATGCATGTACACTTGCACACACACATACACACATGAACATGGACACATATGCACGCAGACGCATACGTATAGCTTTTTCAAGATCTCAAGTTGGAATACCTTGAGAATGTATCCAAAGACTGCTTTTGCCAATGGAGGTAAAAGTATATTGGTCAAAAAGTACTAATAATCTCAGGTTCAAAATGCCTCTAAATCAGCCTTCTATACTTATATCACAAGGTAAGCACTTGCATTCAGTCTCATCTAATTTATGATGCTTGTCTGCAGTGGATGCTTGCATTTTTTCACATTCCTGGTATGATTAGTTGTGTAGCCATACAAGTAAAGATACCTCTTCAAATTAATTCTTTACTTTCTTGAACCCTGGTTATTTTATAGCAAAGGTTACTCTGTATATGCCTGCCAGATAGTTACATCAAGTACTACCTTTTCAAATTCATTCTACTTCCCTGAAATTTTATAAATGTACATCTACAGGGTTTGGTAAATGTGTAAAGATTACTGCTACTAAAATATAACATAGTCCCATGATGGATTATTTGAAAAGAGTATTTGATATCTGCTGACATTATATATAAGATTGAAAACAGCCTTCTGGGAGGCACAAACAAGTTCAGGAATTATTCAGAATACTTGATTATCTGCCATATCACATCTAACCCCTTCGATCCAGATGACATGACCATGAGGTTATGAACAAATTTGGCTTGAGGGGAAGTTGAAGTGAACATGCCATCGTGAGAAAATTTGGCTGAGGACCAAGGTAACGCTAACTTGCCGTCATAAGAATTTCAGCTGAAGGCTGGATTGACAGGAATGACTCACCACGAGTGTACCAAATCAAATGACAAACATAGACATTGGAAAATGACAAAAAATGAAAAATGCCTATAGAGTAAAAGACAAAATAACATTGCAAAGGAGAGACATGGAGTCTTGTTGCCGCATACAAGTGTTCATGTGCTCGTGGCCACTCAAGTAAGCTAATGCTCATATTTTGGGCCAAGTGCAGGTTCTGAAGCATCTGCATTCAAGGAGTTAATTGTATCATTGCATTTCACCTCAGTTTAAGCATAGTGATTGAATAATATTTCTATCTATATACATAGAAAAAGAAAATTACCTAACCAGAAATTCTTGATAAGAAAATGTTCAAAAGTCACATCAACTGATCAACATTTCTTAAATTTAAAAAAAGGGGGAACTGGTTAATAAAAAGAAAATAATCTCTTTCAAGTTTAATAGAAATCTTTTCCAAATCTAGCCTTCCATTCATACACACCATGAAAATCCAACCACCACTTTCACTTGTACGAAATCATGGAAGTCTAACTTAAATCTCTTTGTATATGTTTAGGTGAAAATAAATAACTTGACTACCTTTTTTTAAGTTGGCAATTCCCTGCTCTCGGTCAGTGCAAAAGAGAAAATAACAAAATTTGAAAGTGTAAAATATAAGGAATCACTACAGAGGAGGCTCATTATCCTAAATCATTACAAAAATAGAAAAATGCAATGAAACCAGATCAAGTTACAAAAAATGTGACACTGAAATCTCACTTTGAAATAAAATTCTACCAATACAACACCAAGAATGTAAGACATCTAGATCCCCTATTGCTATGTGCTTATTTCTTCTTCTTCTTAGAGCTGGTGCCGTCAGAGGTGGAAGCAGCTGAGGGAGCATCTTGTGCAGGGGCCCACTTCAAGGGGTATCGGCGGTAGATGGGCCACGGTGGCAAAGTTACCTGAAGATATATCGAGATCAGTGACTGTCATGTATAATGCTTGTAAGTTCTCCTTCCCCTTATGGAAAATTTGAAGTGCTCGTGACTGTAAATACTACATAATACATTTATCAATTCCCATAAACTTAAAAGGTAACTTAAAGCAAAATCTGCACGTGGAAATGTTTATACAGCAATGATACTCTCAAGAAAATTGCCAAAATTTACACCTTGTGGATGGGATAAAGGCAACAAATACACATTCATGTATATTTTCCTGAAACCCAAATTTTTTTTACTATATTCTGCCTCACACAATAGGTAGTAATTATCAAATAAATGAATAAATATATAAATACATGAAAATGTATATATTTTCCCCTTATTGACATCATATGAGCCTGAATGTGTCCATATAAGTGAATGTCTGTTAGGCATGCAAGTAATTTTACTAGACCAATCCACAAGGAGGTTAAACCCCACTGCATAACCAGAACTTACTAAACAAGCCAAGATGAATCCAGCACCAAGTGTGAGCACAGTCATGTGGAAGTCTTGTACATAATAGCCCCACAACCAGCCGACAGCCTGAAAGGGAACAAGGCAATTTTTCATAAACAAGGGTACACACAAAATTACTGAAATAAAATATTCAAATCCATTGGATTGTGAACACCATAACAATTTTCTTGTTTGTCAAGATCATGAAAAAATATAATAAATATATGTATAAACTAATCTGAAAAAAAAAAAAAAAAAAATTTTGCATACTTTGGAACTAAATAATTTTGAACATGGTTCATTTAGATTTATAAAAAAAGTTAAGTCTGCTTTTTTTTTTTTTTTTTTTTGCTGATTTTGATGAAACTCACACCCTTTTATTTGGGCCCCTTCCCATTGCCTGTGGTCGATTTTTTTTCGAAATCACCCAAATAGTTTTTGAATTATTGTCAAAAAATGAAAAAATGCGAGTCACCATGTTGAAAATGCAGCACCTGGGTAAAAGGATTCCGACTTCAAAAACGGCAAGACATTCAATTTTATTTGACTTTTGCACAGAACTACCTTATAACTATAACTTGTTTGAGAGCGTTTTTTCGATTTCGACTTCATATTTTTTTGTGAATTTTTGAAGTAGGGGACTTCAAGAAAAAAACAAAGGTTAAAATTTTCTGACATTGACCACTTTTACAGGAAGTACAGGCAAAAATTGCGAAAACACTCTCAAACAAGTTGCAGATATTTTATTTTTCTACAAAATGAGCCATAGTATGTTAATTTTGGACATATGTTGTGCCCGGAATCCTTTTACCCACCCCTAAAGGAGGAGTCCCAAGATGTCGGCATTTTACGTTTTCTTCATCTTTCCAAGGCTATCTTGATATCAACAAAACAAGGTATA